AGATTTAAAACAGTCAGACAGGTAAACAAAGGGTAGAAGGGAGAAATAGAGATGTATTCATGACATTGCTCCAGTTGAGCTGCTTCGCCCGTGTTGGTTGGATCACAGCGCCAGAACATTCAGCAGGTCTAAGGATGCGTGATGTTTTATCTTTTCACACGTAACATCACTGGTGCTGTTTGGTGTATCAGTCTGGAATTTTAGTGTTTTTGTGTGTTGTAAGACCTTCATTGACGTGGACTGCTGCATCAACTCAGCAAATTAAATTAAATACAGGATAGAAGATGGAAGAGCCTGATAAACAGCAAAATATTTGATAAATTGTGACATCTTAGAAAGCTCATGTCATCAAGAAAAAAAGAAAATAAGTGTATAATACCTAGGCCAACAGTCAATTTCAAACTATGAGAGACACATTAATCAGGATGTCATTAACTTGGAACTATGTGTATTTCCAGTCAATTCGTTATATAGGCCTATAACTAACTTTTAAATGTTTTTACGCCACATTACAATATTTTGACGAACGCAAGGATTTAGTCCAGAAAGCAGCTGTTTGCCGCCAGCGTAATAAAATTGGGTTTCATTACCTACTACTGTACTGTAATGAGTTTTAACGGACACCAATCAGCTGATTATACTTTATTTGGGTGACAATGAGTGGTTATAAACAAAAATATTACCTCTTTTCTCGTCCGGCAAACGCTTATTTTCAGGACTAGTAACGTAATACACTATCAATACACAGTTTGGAATACTTTATAGGAATAAGATGTTCAAATAAATAAATCACCTCAGTTGGCCATTTCTTATTGTCAATTCACTTTGCTAACACTACCAATGCATGCCTTAGTAAACCTTTGTAATTAATTGTCCTCTTTGAACTTCAACAGAGTGCGTACCGAAACTTCAGGTCCATCAAGCAGTTCTTCAACAATTACAATTTCCCCAGCCTTTCCAAACTTCTTGTCCACCAGACATTCCCTGACTGCCGCAGTCGCCTCCTCAGTGTCGGCCGCCACTACAACACCCTTGCCTGCTGCCAACCCTGCAGCCTTCACTACTAAAGCCGGGAAATTTGCCCTGCGATAAGAACAATCAATCAAATATCAATGGTAATTGATAACGGTAACAATGACTACCAGAGGTAACCTAATCTTTTACGGTACCTACTTTTTTGGTAATCAAACAGTTACCTAAAAAGTACGAAGTATCATTCCTTTACCACTAATAATAGTGTAAAGTTTGACACCAAACTTACTGCTGTTTTCCCAAATAGGCAAAGAATGTAATTGATTGAAATGGATGATCACACTTTCAACGTTTCAGACAAACCACTAACACACTTCAGATTATTCAGTTTCAACCATTTTAATCTAGACAATATTTAACTGAAAATCAATTCAGACAAATGGAAATTCGCTTAGTCGGCAGGTTTGCTGCGGCGGGGGTATTTTAACTTTCTGATGCATTAAAATTCATTGTTGTGGTCTGTTCCCCTGAGTCTACCGGCAATGTTGTATATTCGTGATAGGCCTATCAAACTAAAAGTATTTATTTTTATGTCGTACAAGTGTGTCGTGTATAAATGTTGTTTGTCGTGTAATGTGTTGTGAGAACGAAGCTATTCAAGCGGATCTACATATTCCTGTAATGAAGAGTTTGACAATGGCAGCTCGCCGAAACATGTAACACGTTGACGAAGGTTACTTTTGGAACTGATAAAGGTGTAAAACCAAATATTTCTGATGCACTTTAAAAGTACACAACTTGCTAGGCTTACATAAACATATCAAATTAAAGCTAACCGTACCTATTAATAAAATTAACTGCGTCGTCTGCTGAGGTGAAGCCCTGCCATCGAGCTGTAGGAATGCTGTGTCGATCCATAAACTTCTTTGCCCAGTCCTTGTCTGCCTCTATTCTCGCTGCAGCAGCTGTTGGGCCGAAACAATTTATCCCAGCCGCAGACAGAGCGTCAGCAATACCATTGGCCAACGGATCTTCTGGCCCTACCACTACTAGAGTCACACTTTCCTGCTTACACCACACAGCTACAGCCTAAGAACACAAATGAGAAAAGTCCTTTAGCTATCAATAACGATAGTATAATTTGTTCTTCCTTCAACGTTCAAAGTAGAAAACAACATGGACCAGTGATCAAGCCCTTAGACATCTAGATTGTGTAAACAAATTAATTAAGTCTTCTCTGAATACAATGTTATTCAGGAGGGCTGATTTTTGTACCAAATTACTAGGCTATTTTTTTATAAAACAAGATGAGATACGAGTATTTAACTGTAGCTAAGTTGTTTTCTTTCTCTGATCATCTAAAAATGTTTTTGTAAAGTAAATTAGAGTTATACTTAATGTTGTTATAATGGTTCAGACAGATGAGAAGAAAAGGGATAATATTGATGCCATTAAGATGACTCATACTCACGTTAAAGTTTTTGATATCAAGATTCACAATCACAGCCTTTTTTAACTTTCTGATGCCAACATTTCCAGGAGCAGCAAACACCTTGTTTATCTAAACACAACACAGTATTTGGTTACCTATGTGAGAAGACTTTAGGCTAACTACTTTTTAGAAATCTAAAACAAAATAGTTTACAGGTTCATTTATAATCCATTTTAATATAGCACTTCAGAATGCTGTACGGTACTGTATAATACAGTTTACTTTATGGTCATGAAACATTAATTACTAGTGGCATGTAGGGACATAAGTCCCTAAAAATCTCAGATGTAAAACAAATGGTTATTTCACAGAGAAATTAAGTTACAGAGGAAACATTCAATGGTACTTAAGTGGTGTCTTAGGGCAAAGTCCAACACCGCCCCGCCACCACCCCCTAGCTGCTTTCATACACAGATTTCCGCACAGTGTTAGTCGCTCCAGCTCTTCCTTGCTCATCAAAAGTATATTTCCGAAAGCGCTCAGTCGTCCTATAAGCAAGTTGTAGGCTACCTTATTTCTCTGTGGTTATTTTTAGAGAGATTTGATTTACACTTTCAGCTTTACCTTGGTAGATTGAGAGAGTTTCCAGCACAGAGCATGCTCTCGGCCTCCACTTCCAACCACCAAAACATTCTGACTCATCTTAACTTGCTTCTGTAAAAAATGTGTAAAAGGATTATATTGCATGGCATATTTAAACCTCGCCTTCAGACTGGAAAGAGGATTTAACTTAACTTACACAGTGAAAAAAACCAATGAGAGCGGTCTCCAAATAGTAAATCAGATTTTGAGATTTTACATTTAGACAGGGTGTTGTTGCTTTTTATCATTGAAGATTTTATAGGTAAACTAGCTGACCCGGCGAACTTCGTATCGCCTAAGTTATAGGTTTCCCCTAAGACAGACCGATGGAAAGAAAGTACCGTTACGTTTAATTTTCAAGATGATCTCGTTCGCATCGCTCAATCACGTCCTGGTTGAAGTTCGTTCGCTACGCTCACTCACCTTTGGGTTGGAGCTCGTTCGCTACGCTCACTCACCTTTAGGTTGGAGCTCATTCGCTGCGCTCACTTGCCTTCAGGTTAGCTCGTTCGCTACGCTCACTCGCCTCCAGGTTGAAGTTCGTTCGCTACGCTCACTCACCTTTTGGTAGCAAATTAGCTGTTGTCATAAATGTAAAAGAAATAATAGTGCTGCACCCTGTTGGTAATCCTTGTAACTTTAATGCTATTGAACATCATAGAACAGAACCAACTTGTTTAATTGAAACAGCTGTTAAGATTCCTTAATTCCATTTCTCATAAGGTTAACTTGGGAAACTCCAGAGCCACTGGGGCGGAGCCCTTTTAAGAATTTCGAAACGGGAAATAGTTTACGTCCGATTCGCATACCTACAGAATTTACACACCAAATTTCATAACGATCGGTGAAGTCGTTCCGGAGGAGTTTGCAGACAAACACTGTGACACGAGAATTTTATATATTAGAAGATTGTAGGATTATTTGATCAACCAAAGGTTAAATTTAAAAAAAATAGCCTACAAGTTCTTCTTTTATATAAGTATCGATAGTTTTTTGTGTGTATTATAGTAAATGAATTACTTAGTAAGATACAAACGCTCATAGACCATAAGAAGAGTAAAACATGAATTTATCATGCTTTGTGAAGGCTAGATAATTCATTACATAACCAAATTTTGATGATAAAGCTGCCTAATTGTAAACTTAATTAAAATATTGATCTGGACTGGATTTATTACCACAGTATTGCAGTTAATATAATTAGTAATTGAGTCCACTTACATTGCGAAAGACAAGCAGCAAAGCAAAATAAAGTTTTATTTAATTAAATTATGTGAAGTTAAGTTAACTGATTGAAACTCGGCGTTTCCCGTTTGGCGTCTGCTGGCGGCGCGGTAACGCGGTAACCCTGGTAACTATCAGCTGGGAATGAACACGAAAACAAGATTGACGCACGTGTGACGCTATGACGACAGACGATTAGACGAAGACTGAGAGCGAGGACATACAACAACAACGAAGATAACAACTTTATTCTGATTCATTCAATGAAAACAAGGATCCATTCTCGGCCACTTTTAAGATTAATTTAGCCAGAATAATAAATTTAAATATAGTGGAAAGTGCCTTGTGGTAGAATGACGTGAATACCCTTACCCGCAGAGCCAAAAATATTGTATTCCTTTACAAAAACAGCACTACGTCCAACTTTGCTAATATTATTTTTTTAAGGACATTTTAAAACAAAAACGGAAAAAATATAATCATAATTATTTAAGTTTATTTCTAACTTAAACCATGAATAATTTAATCTAATACCATGCTAGAAATACCCTTGAGAGATGTATAATCAATAGTCCACACTTCCAAAGTACATGTTCCAAGTAAAAGCAATGGCTAAATAACACTAGTGTTGGTGGTGTTATATAGTCAATGGTAAGGCTGTTGTTATTTTTTACGTCAACTGTCTTTCATCATATGTTATGCTTTGGATTATTGTCAACTCTTCTTTCTTAAAAATTGTATGTTTTTGTTAGGGGTTAGGCTTAGGAATTTCTGTGGATGACTCACGGTTTTAATTGTGAATAACAAATACAAAGTTGTGCAATTAATTAACCAATATTACAATTTAAAAAAAAGTCGCTTCCTCTATGATAAAAGGGATGATAAATTAGAGAAATTTAATATCTAACTTTTACCAAAAGTGAGTAACTTAAGTTAGTACCTTCTGTTATTAGGCCTAGTCTTAAGTGTTTTTTTTCTAGATTAGTAGATAATTATAATCATTGTTGTAGGACTAAACTAAGCAATATTAGGCCTATTCTTTAAAGAGAACTAGCCTAACTTAGGCCTAATGCTAAAATAATATAAACCTAGCACATCTGTGTGTTAGATTCAGGTGCCACTAAGCAACATTTTTATTTTCATATTGTATATGGCCTAGTTGTACAAATTATAACATCGTTGAGTACAACTGACCATTGTCGGCCAATTTTCAAGGAGCTTGGTATCCTGACCATACATAGCCAATAGGCCTATGTGCTTAACATCCTAGCCCACCTGAAAGAAAATGAGTCATCCATCATGACAAGAAGCATGCTGCATGATTACGGGTAGTATAGAGCATGTGATCTTGACCTGCCCCGCTGCCGACTCAGTCTCACTGTAAACTCTTCTACCCATTGCCTGCTATTCGGCTTTTCAATACGCTGCTGACAGGAATTTGTGCTCTTGACAAAAAGCGAGAGTCAAGTTAACGCTACGCCAGTGTTTACTCAGTCAATCTTTGTACTCCTGGCAAGAAATTTTACGTGCCTCTTGTATTTGTAATTAATACACCTGCCATTGTTGCTTAATTGTATATAACTTGTGTAGGCCCTACCTATTATACTTAGTGTTTTAGCAAATTTCCCTATAGGGAAGTGGCTATTCCTGTAGGTGGCACGGTAAGACCTAGGCTCGAGACCGATTTACTTTTTCACTTTGATGTCCCCAGAGGCCAAAAACACCATTCGTTAGAGTTTTTTTATATGTCGGCCTATATTATATATAAGCTTTACGCCCATGAACACGATAACTTAGGCTAAGTACGGTAATTTTTGTCCGGTTTTGATGAAATTTGGATTAAAGGTGGAAGGCAGGATAAACATGAATGAATTTGCGAATCAGACCAAGGGAACGGGGTTTTATGGGGTAAAAAATTGTTTTTCTCATTTTTGACCCTCAAAACACAAAATTTCTCAATTTCTCTCTAGACATATTTAAAGAGCTTGTTTTGTGAGCAGTTTGGTTTAACCCGCTTTCAAGGAATCTCAGCATTTCCGCTCCAGTGTTCAGCGATGGGAACAATATACACTAAGCACCAAGAACAAGTTATTTTTTATTTAAGCTAACTTAATCCAAAAAATATTGCATAACTTAACTTAAGTTTTTTTGCTTATTGTGCACATCCTGTTATGTAATGAAATGGTTTGCTTATACCGGTATGTCTTACATTTTTGGCAATAAGTTATGTAAACTGTAATAAACTTACGATAGGCTATATTTGGTAAAAGTATCAAAATGTTACTAAAGGTATATTAAAATCATAATTTGTATTGACTCTTACTTGCCTACGACTAAAATTTATTTCACTGTTTGACTTTACCGTGTTTTCGGTTTATTTGTGACTTTTCTATCCTCTTACCTACTTAAGAAAAAATATATAACCTAACTTAAGTGTAGTTTATTTTGTAAATAATGCACGCACAACTAACGGGTGAACCTTTTGAGATGCGGTTTCCTGCAATGAACTGCACTTGACCAGCCCTTTAAAATGATGTGCATATCAACCTATGCTTACATTAAAGATTATGTACCTACTCTTCATGGGTCGTCTCCTGGTGGAGGCCAACAATTGGTAATGCTTGCAAAAAGTAGTTTTCATACATGTAAGTTGATGATGTGAAAGGTTTGAATTTTCTAACAGATTTAGTTAAAAAGATATTAAGCCGTTTCCAGACTTTTTGTCACCCTGTATACAATATGGAATACTGGTTGGCTTCTAAACTTCTTGTGGATCAGGATTACACATAGAGTATATTGTTTATCGTATGTTTAATCAGTAAAAATTGTAATCATCTGATTAATTTTTAATCGTAAAATCTTTAATGAGGTTCTAACTGCCAGTTGCTTGACATATGGCTGAAAAAATATCTTAACGTTTGAAAAGCCTACTCAAATCACTGAGTTCACTAGAAGTCCTACAGCAGCAACTTTTATTAAGTAAGAAATATCTATATATATAAAATAAACCATATATTTACAGGCACTAAGATCTTTAACCTTGTATCATGGCAGAGAGTAATGACAGTGAAAATCAAGCATTAGCCGCAGAGGTTCAACAGCCAGAAGAAGACATGGACTCCTTGCTGGATAGTAAGTAATGTAGCTGATTTAGCTTTTAAAATAAATTATTATGCTTTCTAAAACCATCATGATGACAACAGTCACAAGAAAAGTGTATTTATATATGATATTAGGGAAAATCACAAAAGATGCAATAACCTTTTTCCTACAGTCACCTGACAAAGTGGGCTTCGATCCTTGCACATATTAAGCAGGAAACCCACTGGTCCGACACTCTCCCACACGTCACCTTCCGTCAAGGCTCCGACACCTTCTGACAAAATTACTTTGCATGATTTTAAATGGACAGTAACCCACTAGTCAGACACGACACCTTCCGATCCGACACGTCACGACAACATTGCTCTCTGGGGCATTCTTGTCGGATGTCGGATCCGTCATTTCTCCACTCTGCGTGCACTAGGCCTTGATTTTAGTCAATGTCTAGCTTTGTGTGTGATCACAAGTGTGTCATGATTTTGTACAATTATTGGTTACGGACAAAATTCCAAAAATCAAAATGTTAAAAATTCTTTGGAGAATATTGTAAAATAATGTAGTTTGCTTTCTTATGGATATATTTTGATCAAACTTGGTAAATTTATTTATTTTATTCTAAGTTATTAATATTTTACTAAAAACCACACTTGTTTACCCTCCCTGTAGCAGCATGCCTAGGCACTCATAAAACCTTATGTTAATTAAATACATTTAATTGAAAATCAATTCAGACAAATATAAATTTGCTTAGTCGGCAGGTTTTTTGCGGCAGGGGTATTATTGTTTATGTTTTGTATTGTACTTTTGCTAATTTCCCTGTAGTAAAGTAATTGTAACAGGAATTATCAAAGGTTGGTCTAGGAAGGTCCTTGACCATTGTAATCTCTCATACTAACAGAGATCGTCATAAATGTTGTGGATTTTTTTATTATTTGCTCGACTTGTCTCCCTAAACTGTTTGTGAACAGTATGTGATCACATGTTCCATCGCAACTGGCACTGTTGGAGTGGTGGTGTATTTCTCGTCGGAGGCCTACTGTCGGTGCCCGTCGGACCAATGGGTTAATGCCTTAAAATTTCGGAAGGCGTCGGAAGGTGACGGAGACTTGACGGAAGGTGTCGTGTCGGAGAGCGTCGGACTAGTGGGTTTCCTGCTTTATATAGAAAGCCTTACTTTGTGCGTACACCAGTATTCCAACCAAACAACACAAAACGCAAAACGCATATGATCCATCGATTAGATAATTTTTTGTACGCTGGAATCTCCCTGTAGGTAAATCTAAATAAAATCTACAGTTATGGTTTTTTTGTAAATGGTGCAACTTGGGTCTTTCGATCTTTGATGGTACAGGGGAAGCGTATTGAAGTTGTGAATGAATATATGATATTTTAACTCCTTTATTATGATGGGAAAACATTTCAAAGAGAAATAGAAAGTTTAGAAGTTAGCTATTGATTTACTGTGGCAAAATCTCATAAATGGCAATCAATTCCCACTCGGTGCCAAGCAGTTGTGTTTCAACTCAGTCATACTATCAATTATTTCTTATGCGCAAGTGTGGGGTTTCATTGATAGTGATGCAGTAGAGTCTGTTAAGAAGTTTTTTATCAAGATATTATTTAGGCTTCCAAAAAACATACCGAAATATTGAATTTACGTCAAATCATTAACAAATAAAATATACTTCAAGCGAGTTACATCGGAACTATCTATTAACTGTTTTGTCTTATGTCTGAAGGTCGTTTACCATTTAAATTATAAAAACTAATAATAAACAAGAACTAGTGGCTTGTAGGGACACAAGTCCCTAAAAAGCTCAAATGTAAATCAAATTATTCTAATATTCAAACAAACTTTATAATCCAATTATCTATGTGTCAGGATATATATCCTAGTACAACATATATTTTGTTCAAAAAACAATTTGTTGTTTGCTTTTGTTGCTTGATGTTATTTTAAATAAATAATTGCAATGACTCCAGAGGTTTAACCCTGCTAAAGGCAGCAAACATGTTTGTGAATAAAAAAATTGGCTTACTAAGGTAGCTTTGGTCTTTTGGTTAGGCCTAGTGATGAAAAGACTTCCCAGATTGAAATATTAGAAATTGTCTTCGTCAAGTATGAGAAGGCAAATGAAGGTGTGTTGAGATAAGCTTAGCTGTTGGTCAAACCGCTAAATTAGCACCCTGACCCAGTTATTATTTCTAAGTTTATACTCCTTTTGTAAAGGGTTAGAAAAATTAGTGTAAAATAAAGGAATCATATTGACCAAACTTAACCCTAGATTTGTTTCTGATCAACATTAAAAAGCTATTATTAGCCTGGTGTAAAATATTCCTCCTAAAGGTGCGATTGACTTTACATATTCTATAAAAAAAGGGCCTAATCGAAGCCTGATTACTAACTATTTTGCGAATGGTTATGTTTCCATTACCAAGTTATCGAAACCAATCACGAAATGACTTTTCATTAGCATCTTCAACATGCATATTTTTGGATTTTTTTATGAAACGGAAAATATCTCTACGTTTTACCGTTATATATGGATGGTCTAATTAGACCTTTTGGGATTTCGACCTTCAGAAACACTCCCATACCCACCAAAGAGAATGTTGTCAGTCATTGCTGGTGAGTCATAAAAAGACAACTTACCTTCCTCCAGTGTTGTATTTCATGTTGTAGTAATTTAAACAGTGACCTATAAAACATTTAGTCAGTGTTGGTAGTTTGAGTCTTGTTTTTAATTTAAAACTGAATATGTCCACACAACTTATGACATCACATTTCAGCTATAGTTTTATGCAACCACAATGGATTCATTACACAGTTTTGTTAATTATGATGACTATTATCAATAATAAAACTTAATTGTGAACTGCAGAACTTGTCTGTAGAATATCTCAAGACTAAATTTATCTGTAAGCTTATCATGTGTAAAGGACTACTTGCCTGGTTTTAGGTGCCCTTGATGACTTTTCTAAAGTATCTCTGGAAACATCTACGCCCGCAGTCAAGCCAGAAGAAACTGCGGTGTCCCAGGAAGCAGAAACGGAAAGTATGTGGGCCAACATGTTGAAAGAAGCAATGCAGGCCGACCCGAGCATGAAGGAGATGTTTGGAGAAGGTAAGCGTCAGTTGTTCCAAAAAAACCTCAACTGTCCATTACAGACTACTTTAGGTCTGTGCTGTGACGTAAAGTCAGTTAAGTATTGTTATATTATAAGTCATATTGACAGGCCAGTGGTGAAAAAAGTAATAACATAGTTCAAGCTAATGGTCTTGAACCAGCAGTGTCTGGCCTATCAACCCAAGCTGCTACCACTGAGATACCATGTTCGGTCAGACCAGAAAGTCTTTTCATAGTTGCAAAAGAGAGGTTGTTTGCACCAGTGTCCACAATTTGTCCTTTATTTTTGTTCTAAAAAAATACAAACATATTGCATGTAGGAGAAAGGAAATGGACTCTTATTCATTGACAGATCTTTAATTCATAACTATTAGTATACAAAACAAGCATAACCTAAATTAACCTCAAGTTAGACTTAATAAATAAATCACGGGTAGGCCTACAGCAGCTAGTATAATAATATTATGAATGTGAAAGTATGGATGTTTATGTATAACTCTCAAGTTCCATCACACAAAAACTACTGGACCGATTTATTTGACCGACACGAGCTGACTTAATGTTCTCAAACTGTGCAAACACAGAGCACAAGTATAACTACAATAAGCATTTTAATACTTATACGCCCACCCCGTATGAAAGACGGGTACTCTGGTAGTATTTTTTAATTGTATAAAGAATTTATGAGATTAGATAAAATTTAGAATTTAAAAAATCAGGCTAAGTTTTTTATATATTGCAGGTTTGGAAGGGTCTGATATTTTTAGGCCGTAATATCTATGATCTTGTAAGATTGTTCAGGATAGATTTATCTTTTTATTTACAGTTCCTCCTTTTAGTGAATTTGGTTAATTTGTCTATACTATAATAATATTCTTTTTTTCTTTGTTTTATGTTTTTTTTTTGGAGAAGGTGGATTTATGGAGTTTGAGGGATTATTGTGAACATTTTTCCATCATTAATAGTAAAAAATGGGATCAGATTCCAAACCCCAAAACGTCAAGAAAACACTTTTTTACTAATCGTGTTGGAAAATGTCTGCAATAATTCCTCAAACACAATCATAATATTGTTAGTATTATGTCACCTCTGTAGGACTTTCATGCAATTATAAGATGAATAAATGACTACCGTATAGTCCGTTCACAAAATTTAGTCGGTTTGAGACGGTTTTGTGGATCCCCCCTTTTTTAATGCATGTTACAGCTGATTGATGGTTTGAGCTTATTAACAGCTAACCAGCTGCTGTTTCATATATTTGTAGATGGAGGAGGGGATGGAATTGCTTTCCCTTCCCCTACAACCATGTAATTTTTTGAACAGAGTTTAATAATGTAGACACATAAGAAAAACCAATCAGAGGTTCCTCTTACATCTGTATCAAAAATTATCCATCCACCAGCAAAATTATCATGAAATAAATAAATATAGCTATATAAATTTAAGAACAGACATTGGCCTATGATTGGTTTTTCTATATTACACATCATTGCAATACATTAAAGGAAATTAGTTAACGCATTTGTATTATGTCACCAGGTGGTCCAACTGAGAACGACTTTTTCCAAGATTTTTCAAAAATCGCCGAGGCGGCAGTTAAAGCGATTGAAGGTGACTCATCCAGCAACTTTGCAGACATAGTATCAGAAACTCTGAAAAGCCTTCAAGACAACAGTGAATTATCAAGGGTGAGTAGTGGTGAACTGTTTGTGAACTAATGTCTGGTACGGTAATGTTGAAGGTGTACATTTTATTTAGGCCAACATTAGGATTATACAAAACAAGCAACAGGTTGAAGTTATTACTACAAGAAGGTTTGTTTAAATGGATAGTTAGGATTTAGCCTACATAAGAAACGGCGTATCGAGTATGTATGAGAAAATAAAACTGAAACTGAGACATCTCACCTACTATTTATACAATTCATAAATACAATTTTTTGTGATGTAATTATCACACATCTTGCAAACTTCAAAACTAATTATGAACCCATCATTATTTATGTCATGGGGTTTAATATATATTATTTCTAAATAAATATCAATGTTTTGGGAGTACGGAGTTTGACAAATATATTTTTTGTCATACTGCAGCAAAAGCAGCCGTTTTTTATCCATGCACTGCTGGTCTAAAATAGCATTTTTACTCCCTATAGAGTAAAAACCAGCTATTGTAAACAGTTGTAAATTTCAATTTTAGCAATCGCATGGATCAAAATATTTATCGATTGATTTATTAGGTAAGCTTATTGTTGCATTTTTGTCATTAGTTCGATTTATCGATGGTATAATGCACAATAACACAATCGTAACAGACAAAATGATTGAATCACTTACTAAACAGCTGCTTATTTACATTAGCAGAATTGAAAACAAGCTGGAAGTCGTTTGAGAGGTTATCTTTACATGAAAGTATTTTAGTTTTCTAGCTTAGTTTGGCAGTTAATGATGCAATATGACAAAAAATATAGTTCATCACACGGGCAAAACGTGTCTTTTCAACCCTCGCTCATTTTCCGACCTGGGCTTTGCCTCAATCGTAATACTCGGGTCGAGAATAGTCACTTTAAGCCCTAGTGATAAAATATTCTATTCTTACCAGCAAATGAGTGGAACTACATTGGAAAAAACCCATTCTCAATCAATTGAATGGTTTATTATTAATACATAGGGACCGAGCTTTGCTCGGAGAATATCATTAGTTTACTGTATAGTCTGGAGCAGTCTTTGCTCAATGTAATTCATCAAAATCTTCTTTATAACCTTTAGTCTGTTAGCATAAATAAAATTAGTAAACAAATTAGACCTACTAAGCCTATATAACTAAACCTTCTGACACATCTGTTTGTTTTTACAATTTAATTTTTTACCAAGTTGATAAGACTTCTCTTTATAAATTGTTTAAATCCTTTAATCCTTTTTTCACAAAATTTATTCTGGAAATATTTTTCTAGCATCTGTTAGATACCTCTAATTCAATCTTTTAGATGTAAAACATTTTGAAATCTTCATTAGATCGTATTTATTAAAACAAACCATTTTAATTCAATTTTTGTTAAAATGTAACATGATTTTGGTCACATTTTTAAAATATTAAGTTAACTATATAAACCCCAGTTGTTGAGCTATTGTTTTAAAGGAAGTATCAAGTGGAGGGTATAGATTTTTCCCCTAAAACCACCTAAATTTTGTGAACTGATTATAAGAATAAGAATAAGAATAAGAAATTTATTGACCATTAAGTAAATACATTGTTTACAATAGATCTCGTCAAATTAGTCTAAACAAGTGTCAGGCTTCAAAGCTAATACTATTTTCTATTTAAAGCTATGTAGGATGACAGCATATTCAAATAACTATTTCAGAATTTAAAAACTCATCAATATAGTTAATTTCTAATATATAATTAACAGGAATATTCTTCTGTTTATATTTCTAAGTCACCCACCTAATTAACAATGATTGAATTCCCAACACTGTAATTGATTTAGTTGAGCAATGCATGTATTGATAACATTATTTTTCCAATAACTAATTAAGACTGGTCAAAGAAAACAATAATGTCTGACACACAATCTGAAATGATCTCATAATTTTGATATCTTAAATTATCTACGGGCGTTATCCTAAATAACCTACTTTAAATCTAATGGGTTTTGATATGGAGCGTGTGCTTTAGTCATTGTTAGATTTTAACATGGGGAACAATATGACTAAGGAACGGCTAATGTACTTAGTCCGAACGGTATGAATTTAAAAATATTGTTGCAAACTAAAAATAGACATTATAGTTAGGCCTACTGATCATATCTAGCAGCATTTTGATCCTAGATGTAAAAGAGACATATTTCATAATTCTGTAATATAGAAGTTTTTTTTTATATAGTATTGGCTTGTCTCAAGATTTAGGCTAGTAAAAAAAATTTAACTTTTGATTCCTGAATAACAAAATCTTAACCTGTTTTTTACTTATACTCCTAATCGGTAACAAGGGGTGGTTCACAAGATGATTTGAGGTTTTTGTGTTGGTGGTAGAAAGAGAAAACAATGTTACGTTTCTTTTGGATGTACTGTACAATAATTTCAATTACGATCAATAATAAAATTACAGTCACAATAATCTGACACTTATCTAAATTTAACAGTTAGCTGTTAACAATAAACTCACTAAACACTGTGTGATAATGGGAGGGATCAAATAGTAAAAAGTAAGTGGATGGTACATGACATTGTTGTGCAAGAAGGTTCAAAGTGTTGTAATATAATATCTTGCTTTGCTGATTTTAGCCAAGGGTTCAGGGAAAGTATATATTTTTTATACTTGGAATTTAGATTCTTTTTTTTAAAATAGGGATTTTATCAAACAAAATTAGTCGATACATTTCTTGCAGGTTACTCAATATTCTTGTTTCCAAAGTGTTCCAGTGTTACGATTAGTTCATTGCTTTAGTATAGTTATAATTTCTCCTAATGATTGCTACTGTTGTTTTATAGAACCAGTTTGGTGACCCAGAGCAGATGGCGAGCCTGTTTCAAGACATGGGGTTGAACAGTGAAGCGCTGGGCCAGGATGGTAGTGTAGAGGACATTCCACCCTTCCTGCAGAACATCATGCAACAGTTCCTATCTAAAGATGTCCTCTATCCTTCCATCAAAGACTTTGTTGACAGGGTAAGAGATTGTGTTTAACTTAATTATAATCCAGTAATTTATTATTAGGAAATGTAAATTGTGAAAATCCGTGGGTTTGTCAAACAACATGCCCATTCCAGAGGCGCATAGTCGAAAACTACAAAACATCCCTGGCTTTTCCTTAAGACTTTTAGTTCAACATTTGTGTATAATCTTTTGCTGTAAAATGCTTTAGGTTTTTTAACAGTCGTAATTATCCCACTGATTAGTAAAATACTCCAAGTGTATTAAATAACCAATGTTGATTATGGTATTCATTGGTCCCTTTCTTTTGTACTGCATTACGTAATTTGATACCGTACCGTGGATGATTTACTATTAGCATATGTCGCACTTTAATATTCATATCTTTGTAAAACTGTCTACTGGCTACCTAGCTATCTATAAGACAAATGTAAAGAATATTAAAATTTCCAGTGATAGTGGTTTAAATAGCTGTTGATTCCACTAATTTTACTAATAAAAGTTCACATTTTGTATAAGAAAATATAAAGTAAGTTTTTATTAAATCACAATCTGTAAGTAAACATAAACAATTTAACAAGTAAACAAAAGAATAATTTGAACACATGTTAGAAATAAAATGTAAATAAAACATATGTTAACACCTCCTCCTCTATTTACTGTGCTGAGGCACTCTGCGAAGAATCAGCTGATCAACATGTCTTCTAGTTATTCGCCCATCTTCCAGCTGAACTACGTACATTACATGTCCTTGCTTTTCAGTTATATAGCCTGAGTACCACTTGGATGATCCATTGACATATACCCGCGCTAGAACCTTATCTCCAACTTTGAAATTCCTTTTTATACCGACTTGGAGTCCCTTGTTCTGAAATTTGTTCGGTTCTAATGTTGGAACAATTATTGCGAGGTTTGTTCGTACACTCCTGCCAAACATTAAGTGGTATGCTGATGTACCAGTTGAATTCGGGGATTGCCTGAGTTGCATTACAAGCCTTTGGATTTTATTTGGCAGTGTACCCATCCTCGTTGCCATTGTTGATTCCACTAATTTTACTAATAAAAGTTCACATTTTGTATAAGAAAATATAAAGTAAGTTTTTATTAAATCACAATCTGTAAGTAAACATAAACAATTTAACAAGTAAACAAAAGAATAATTTGAACACATGTTAGAAATAAAATGTAAATAAAACATATGTTAACAATAGCTTATTCTTAAAACCCAAATGTTGTATTCACAACTAGTTTCGACCTGCTAGGAGGTCATCATCAGGTGTGTACAAGGATGATATTACTTCATATGAAGGTCGTCAGTAACAGTTTTTTACACTTACACAAGCACACGACGAATAAACACATAGCGCGCACACATATATGGCCGATAAACTTCCGCATTTTCAACAGGGGTCTGCTTGTCGAGTTCAATGTCATATTTTATCGGCCATATATGTGTGCGCGCTATGTGTTTATTCGTCGTGTTTGTGTAAGTGTAAAAAACTGTTACTGACGACCTTCATATGAAGTAATATCATCCTTGTACACACCTGATGATGACCTCCTAGCAGGTCGAAACTATATGTGAAGACAACATTTGGATTGCAAGAATAAGGTATTTAAACCACTATCACTAGTTATTATTCACAATCCGGAGGCTGTTCACACCACAATGAAATTAAATTTCATTTAAAGTTTTTAACTACAAACAAATTTTCTCAGAATAGAGGCTAGCATGGATATTTATTTTTAGCCTGAACTGAAACTAAGATATTTCTAACAACTTAGAGGAAATCATTAAAGCTATTTTGAAATCATTGTGTGCAAATTTTGTTATAGTATAGATATAATGTATATTATTTTCAAGTAGCCTAGCACACTGTGTTAGAAACTATGTAGGATTTGAATTAAAATTTGCTACAGCTGGTTTATATAGATGTGTTGTCTACTCTTAAACTCATTGGTTCCTTACCTACTCTCTAATTCTTAAACATGTTTTTACGTCTTGTGTTACTATGCGATGTTTGGATGTCTTGCAGCTACTCATCGAGGCTTACATAGCAGAACTGGCAAATATTATTCATCTCGCAAAGTGAATGTGTATCTGGATGGGTATCTGTTAGACCAGGTCTCTCTTTTTCTACTCTCCTCATTATTTTTAATTGTGTCCTACTACCGTGTTCAATATTTCTTCTTTGAACTTGAGGCATTTTCTGTTCTTCCAACAAAACTGATTTGAACTGTTTAACTCGGTCTTAACCTACTAAATATTACAAACATCAATATTTAGGCCTACTCCCAAAAAGCTACAGCTTCTTATAAACAGCTGTTTTTTTGTTTTAAATTTGTTCTATGTATTTCTTATGGGGAAAACCCGACCTTTGAGTGGGCCTCACGCTCTTAAGAGCAGGAATTTTAGAATTCTAAAACCTTATTGCAAAACTACATATTGAGACGAATCTTTTGACACCTCAAACGTTGAAATTGGTCCACAAATAAGGGAGGAGTTGCGTTAACAAAAAACGGCTTCACGTATTATATATATAGATGTATATTATTTTCAAGTAGCCTAGCACACTGTGTTAGAAACTATGTAGGATTTGAATTAAAATTTGCTACAGCTGGTTTATATAGATGTGTTGTCTACTCTTAAACTCATTGGTTCCTTACCTACTCTCTAATTCTTAAACATGTTTTTACGTCTTGTGTTACTATGCGATGTTTGGATGTCTTGCAGCTACTCATCGAGGCTTACTACGGTAGTTATTCATTTAACTTGTACCGTAACTCTTTTGCAGTATCCTGCCTGGCTAGAAGCCAACAAGGAGTCATTGACACAGGCACAGTTTGATAATTACACAAAGCAGCTGGAACTGATGAAGAAAGTGGTGGAGGAGTTTGAGGCGGAATCTGAGGAAGACAGTGCGGAAGTGAAGAAACAGAGGTTTCAGAGAATCATGGGACTGCTGCAACAGGTACTGTTCACCATGTAGGAAACGTTACCATGGATGATGGAAATTCAAAATTATAAGTACCACAGGGATTTGTTAAATCTATGTATGCTTACGTGGATTTGTAAATTTTGTATTGTAATAAACTGGTTTTCAAAAAATATCTTTTTTTGTAGTTGAATTGGAATGCAAATTATTTGGTATTTGTTTTATTTTTTATCTGTAACAATATCTAAATTGTTATATAATTTAAAATTTCACATAAATGTACCTAACCAAATAATTAATTAGTTGAATTTATTTGTAGATTAAGATGGAACTTTCTTGTTTCTAAGATTTAAAAGTAAATGATCAAAGGAGATTTTAGCTAGATAGTGGAGCAATTAAAATAACACATCAATCGCCAGCCAGCTTCTTAAAAACGTTCATTTAAACTTTTTCTGCTTTTATATAATATTTTCCGCTTTTAAATCTAGGTATTATTCTAAGTATCTTTGGAAGGAAAGTTGGGTTTATTCAACTGGAAAGCTGTTGGCAACTGTGAATTATAGGACTTCACTTAGTGCCTTAATATGCGTGGCCACTCAAGTGCCTCACCACCCCCACTGCCGAAAGGCCACTTTTAGCGGGTCATGTTATCATATGGAGCATTTTAAGTGACATGAGCAGTGGCAAGGCACGGGAACTTCAGCCGGGATTGGCCACTCGAGTCGCGCACCCTCGCCACTGGTGGCAAGCCCGATCAACTGTCTGCCATCAGCGGGCCATGTTCTCATATTACACGCAGCCACAGTCGTGGGCCTCATCTCAGTCACGATTTTTGTGTTAAAATTGGATTATATTTATTATATTTGTAACCCGCTTCCGGGTGTGTTTCGTTAATTTGTCGGGTCGGGGAGTTACGCGTCCCTGATAGCCTAGCCGAGCTGGGTTATTCCGGGGGTCAATTTTGGTCGAGTTTCCCGCTTTTGTCTCCTAACGTCGTTTTCCTGGCTCAGGCGGGAATGTTATGCCTCTTGGCTTTATTCGTGCCTCATCATCGCCAGGAAACGAGTGAATAAAAGAGGGACGGCGAGATTTTGTTTCGAAGTTATAGCTTCGTGCGCGACTCTGTTCACAACCTCCTCGGTGGAGTGTCAATTATTTATTTAATTTACTACCCTACGTCCATGCGCCACGGACCGAGCAGAATTAGTTTAGATGCGTCTTGATTGTTTAAAAAAAATACAATGCGTTTCGGGCGAGTGGCCTAGTTCAAAGCCCCGTGAGAGAGTAGGAATATGAAAAGGTGCAAACGAACATACAGAGTAGGGTGGAGAAGGATCGTTAACAGGAAGAGTAAGATACGAGACACACACACACACACAGACAGGTTGAGCACACAAAGACTTATTTCAAATAGATTAAGCCTAACTAAAAACTAACTTATTCCCAGATTTTCCGGGATAGCTTAGGTCTAACTTATAAATAACTTATTTCCGGTGTGCCCGAAGTAATTAAAGCTAACTTATAAATAACTTATTTCCGGGTTTTCCGGAATAGATTAAATCTAGCTAATAACTAACTTATTTCCGGGTTTTCCGGAATAGGTTAAAGCTAACTTATAACTAACTTATTTCCGGTGTGCCCGAAGTAATTAAAGCTAACTTATAAATAACTTATTTCCGGGTTTTCCGGAATAGGTTAAAGCTAACTTATTACTAACTTATTTCCGGTGTGCCCGAAGTAATAGAGAAAGAAGAAAAGCTACTTAGCAAACTACAGCTAACCAAAGCAGTTAGCTGCACATACGATACACAGATCACTCAATTAGCAACAGTCCAGGAATCAAGGAAATGGTAAAGAATGGAAAGAGAAGTTGGGGCTTTACTGTCTAACGTCACGGCGAATTAAAATTCCCAAAGCCAATACGAATCCCCAAAGCCTTAGTTAAGCGTTAATAGTCAAAGGTTAAGCAAAGGTTAAGCGTTATGCTAAGATTTGAAGCAATTTCTAAGGTTAGTGTGTTAGTAGCGGTGTCGTATCATAAGTTAGAATATTTAAATGCATATGGTTCAACACATCAATAATTAGTGGAAGGCTAAATGAATAATTAATAATGAAGTGTTAAATATAGTAAAGAATAGTAAAGCAACTACCTAGAACATTAACAGTTAATAGCGGCTAAGCAACAACATAGAACATAACTACTGTGCACTGGTTCTAGTATAAAAGATAATGAATAGCTACAATGGTTAGTACAGTTCTGCAATATGTACAAACAAATTAAAGCGTGTTAGTTATTAAAGAAGCCAACAAAGTATTGAAATCACTCTAATAAATCCACTATTAATTAACTCTTATTCCAATAGATAAAATATCTCACAGCTGAAGTGCTGCTACAGTAATTACGAACAACATTGACTACACACTAAACACCACACATTATATTTAAGTAACACCGTGTTCTCACGGACCTACGCGATAAACAAAACAAACAAAAACACACGAATATGAAAAAGCCGCCTTGCGTGACCGAAACCGATCGAACTTGAATAGATTTAAACAATACAAATAAAACAACACAATTAAAACAGAAAGTAATTACAACCGGGCGGATCTCGTTCTGACCGTTACTTCTTTGAACTCACGGTCTATAAATTATTTATTGAACCAAGTTCAAATATTCCACAAATCAAAGCTGATCGTTATATATTTACAGAGTTATTTTAACAAAACAGATAACACTCTATGTTATAGTAAAACGATAAAGATATTCACCGGTTTAAATAAATCGATCTCTGTTAATAATTCTATTAAATTTAAGACGAAACTTCCCGCGGACGTTTGACTTAAATAGCGTAATTAATTAACAGGAAATAAACGATAGCGAGTGAGGTCGAGTTATCCTAGGCGCCCTAGGATATTAACAACGGCGAATGGCGAATGTCGTCCACTTACTTGGCGTGAGCGAGAGTGTAGGATCGGGCGTCCGTCTTCTGCCTAATTGCTCAGGCCACTGCTCCTGCTTCCTGCTGACTGTCGACTCTCGCCGACCCCGACTCACTGTCTCTCCGAGCGCCGCGCACATCCAGCGCTGTGGCTGGGGTTCCTGCGCAGGCGCGGGCGACTGATGCGCGGCCCGGTGGTATGGCGGTGAATCACAAGATCAGCTGTTGCTGAACTTGTGTCATCTGCTAATTTGTTTTGTTTACATTTTTGAACTTCGGCGAATTGGCGAGGTGATTCGGCTAGTAAGGGTTTAGTTTTATTATAAATATTGACGAATTTTATGAACCCTTACATATTATATTATTATTTTATTTATATAGATAATAATGGGTATATTAATGTAAAAACTATTATATTTACTTTAAGGTCAGTGCTAGCTTCTCCTTAGCTGAAATAAAATTGTTCACATTCTTGTAGAATTCGGACAAGTCACCATTTATTTTTTCTTTTTCTAAAAGTTCATGAAAAGAACTTTTTGACATCTGAAAAATTAAAAATAAACTTCTTGTCATCCTCTCTGAAATAGTGCGAAACTCCTTTCGAAGGTCTTTCTTTTAGTAACGGATGGACTCCAATACTTTTGTTTAACCTACGTTTACGATGCTTGAGTAAAAGTAGAAGTAATAGTTCATCTTCTTCACTTGACAACTACATCATTCACACTGAGAAACTACATACAAGTCTGTATACAAATCGAAATCATATGGTCGGACGCGCGACCTCGCCACACTTGTCGATACCTCTAGCCGCCCCTGTCACTGCTAGAAGTAGCGACTGAGCAGTCGTGGTCACGAGCCACTCAAGTGGCCGTGCAAGACTTTTATAGCTGTCTCCAAGTCCAAGGCGAATGAGAGTGAAAAATTAAGTCAATTGTGTTACATCAGTTGGGATCGAATTGGCCTGTCATGTAGTCTTGGCCCTACAGTACACAATGGCAAAATATGACTGATTTAATTAAAGCAATGCCCACTCTGAGGTCGGTTTTATGCATGCCATCACACGTTCTGGGGAGTGAGGTTAGGTGGGTCTTGCATCTCAATAATTCAATCACAAGTTTTACTGCCACGTTCCTAACAGGTGGTGGGAAGGAAATAAAGAGCTCAGTGTTGAAGTTGTACTAGAAAGTGTGATGCCAAACATGCCGCATTAACTAATACAACCATTTGACTTTAGAAGGAACAGGCAACAGTATTGGATGCATAATATAAAAATAGCTTATTCCCTATATGGGAAATTCGCTAAAATGTACTGCCGATATTTAGAGAATGCCGTGTTTTTGTATGGTTATTGGTTACAGATGAAATGCAAAAAAATGTAATTTAAAATTCCCACGTTATTCTTATGGAGAATAAGTAAACTGTTGTAGTTTGCTTGTTTATGTATATACTAGCTGTAACCTGCGGGCTTTGCCCCGTTTAACTTCTTAATTTTCAAGATTATCTCGTTCGCATGGCTCAATCACGTCCTGGTTGAAGTTTGTTCGCTACGCTCTCTCACCTTTAGGTTGGAGCTCGTTCGCTACGCTCACTCACCTTTAGGTTGGAGCTCGTTCGCTGCGCTCACTTGCCTTCAGGTTAGCTCGTTCGCTACGCTAACTCGCCTCCAGGTTGAAGTTCGTTCGCTACGCTCACTCACCTTTTGGTTGAAAATTAGCTGTTGTCATAAATGTAAAAGAAATAATAGTGCTGCACCCTGTTTGTAATCCTTGTAACTTTAATGCTATTGAACATCATAGAACAGAACCAACTTGTTTAATTGAAACAGCTGTTAAGATTCAATAATTCCATTTCTCATAAGGTTAACATGGGAAACTCCAGAGCCACTGGGGCGGAGCCCGAAAGGATTTTTGAAATAAGAATATGCCTATATGTTAATCGGGAATGTGAGCTATCATCATGCCAAATTTCAGCGCAATCCGACCAGTATTTTTCGCGTTCACTTGTCACAAACGTACATCCATACATCCATCCATACATCCAAACTTTCTCATTTATAATATTAGTAGGATTATGATCAAACTTGGCAAATCTATTTCTTTTATACTAAACTATTAATGTTTTACTAAAAAAACTCACTTTATTACCCTCCATGTAGCAGCAAACCTAGGTAGGCTACTTGTTAAACTTAACGCTATTGAAATTATCAAATCAGGCAAATGGAAATTCGCTTAATCTGCAAATTCGTTTAATTTGCAGGTTTGCTGCGGCGGGGGTATTTTACAAGTGCCGGTACTTTAAATAAAATAATTTAGATTATTATTATTTATGATGTTAAATATTGATTGAAATTTAGTTTCTAAATTCTCATTATTTAATTTTAAAATCAGCCCTTCCTACCACCCCTTTAATCAGCCTATCTGTAAAATTTGTTTGTCTGTAAAAAAACTGGCCATTATGTCCTTTGCATACTTTTTATTTTCCATACTCTGAGCATTATAAGAGTATGAAAATAAAAAGTATTTACAAAGGACATAATGGCATGTTTTTTACAGACAAAAACATTGTCCTGACACTTGTTTGCTCATGTTGGTTTGTCATTTGAATAGTAAAAGTTATATTGTTAAAAAGATTTATAAATTGCATCACAGTCTTAGTTTTATTTTGGATATTGAATTCGTCATTAAAATCACCATCCAAGACAATATTATAACTGCACCATTTAGAAAAATAGTGTAATAGTTGTTCAATGATGATTAAAAATGCTTGGGTATTTCCATTAGGGGAGTGGTATACAGAAATTACAATGGTGTTTAAAAATCATCTTTAAAGACTGCAGAAGCTTCAAAAGTTAATTCTTTACAAAACATATTAACATCACAAATCCTAGATTGAAATTTATTATGTACAAATATAGTGGTACCTCCTCTGATATGCTCAGACCTACACAAGGCACTACTAGCTCAATAGAAATTTTCTGGATAGCTTTGATTAACTCCATCATATGAAAGCCAATGTTCAGATAAACATAGAATTTTAATATAAGAGTTAATAATAAAACTGTCTAAGACATTTTTCTTTAATTATTCAAAACTTGCATAGTATATTTGGGTAGCGGGTTTCTATCCCCCTGGGCAAAACTGACGTCACAAACCAAGGCTGCAAAATTTTTAGTTGCACAACATCAGTTTGATGGATTAAAGGTGCAATTAAAATTAAACATATATTTTCACAGTTGATTCAGAACACACTAAATTATAAAAACCTAGAGTGTGCGGGCTTTAATTTTACCCCCGGACTTGTACCCCCTTCATGAGGTCAGCTCAAAATATACGGCCCGGAATTTTACCATATGGCTAGATATAAAAATAAGTGATAATGATTAATTTTATTCTTTTAGTTTTAATTTAATAGTAAACATTTTATTATTAAGTAGCTTGTCTTAACCACAATAAACGGACATACCAGGGGGTAAAATTCTGGGGGGTAAAAATTCGGGCTGAAATTCCAGGGGTAAAAATCCGACCCTTTACTCTGCTTTTGGATTGCACTTTCTTGATCACTTTCACCACTATGACTGTATTCCGCGAACCACCTCGCTGTACTGCTGATGTCCGGGGGCAACTCTATGTGTTGTGGAGCTGCACTGGGATGATGGTGGTGTGTCTGTTTTGTGGGTGGAGAAATTTCTTTGTGTGAATCGATTGAGTATTGTTGGGTATCGGACAATGAAATGTTTGTTGGGTCTTCATTGGACAAGAGGCGTTTCAAGGTGAGAACAAAATGTTCGTAGTTTAGTCCATTAAATAGTCTTCTTGCCGATGATTGTTTGTAGGTAATAATATCTGAAACTGCTCCTGTCTCTTGACGAAATTGAACAATTATTTTAATGAAATTTCGGTTGGGACTAAATCTGTAACACATCCAAGAGGAGAGCAAATTAGCTGTCAGAACTTTTTTTCCTGAAAGCTGTTTGAAGGCTTCGGCATAGTCTTTTTAAACTGGTTTTCCATTATAGGCTAAGTTTGGTGACCAAACCATATACTCCACCACCATTTCAACTTGCTGATATGAAGATCAGCTGTTTCACTAGCCAGGATCAATTAGAATAACTCACAAACTTGTCAGCTTGGTGACTTGTTGTCTACCAGACAAATCCTTCATCACTTCACTAACAGAGCTTGCTTGACATGAGCAAATTGACAATGGTTATTGGTATTTTCGACCCGCTATGTAATTACATATCAAACAGCTCTAGTGCCCAATTGCAATTTGTTTGTTTACTTAACTCAAATTTTATGTACAGATGCAGGGCTTAGGGCAGCCACCCATGGAGCTCATACAGGGAGATAGCGACAGTCCTCTAGATGAGACAAACCTACCTAGTTTACCTCCAGGACTGGATCCTCAACAATGCTGCCTCATGTAGCTTACATGAGCATCTAGCCTAGTCTACAACTTATTTTCACTAAAAACCAAAACAATATAATTTAACTGTATTGATTTATAGTATTTTCAAGCTCAAACTTGCTAGACAAAGTTTATGGCTATTTAGCATGTGCTCTTTTGTGCAATTCTTTGAGATTTGCCAATATGTTAAGAACGAACAGCAAGACGAAATGTGGATTTTTATAAGCATTTTGTACAACATTTCTTACCAAAGTGTGATAACAAAAAATAAATATTTGTTTTTGATTGTTGCAAGGATTTAATTATTACCACCTTTTTCACTGTATGCATAACGTGCCACTCATCCTACACTCATCTCCATTCATACTTGGCTTAAAATACCTACTTTGTATGGTCGCCATTTAATAAGAAAGTATTTAAGTAAAGTAAAGAAAATAATACTTTTACACTAGTATATTAAAATTTTTAACAATCTGAACCACTGTTACCTAATTTAATTTTAAGAGTGCTTCAAATCACATATCCTTCACATATTTAAATTTAATGGAATAGATCAGTGGATAATAATAAATCAAGGTGTTACTAGCACCAATTGAGGCAGCATTTAATTATTGAACTATCCCCAAATGAGAGCTATATCAGTGGTGTTGTTTTGATGCCCCTTCTTAGTAAAAAGTAAAAGAAATTAAAATCAAAATCTCTACTCATCCTATATTGAAAATTAAAACAATAACCAAGGCAGGGACATTAAATAATTCACATCATACATGTACAAAATAAATTTAATTGATCTAAATCTATTAACAAACAAAAACATTAAGTGAATTAAGGAAAATGAATTATATGAATAGATAAAGCATTCATTTCCAGAGCTTCTTGATGGACATGTTCTTCTCTGAGTCCTTCTGCATAACCTTGGCGACAGCCATCTCAAAGTCCTCCTGAGTGACATGAACACGACGCTCACGTAGAGCGTACATCCCCGCCTCAGTACAAACTCCCTGTGACACATTGAATAAATTATTGTATTTCTATTATTTAATACAAACTTTAAATCCAAATTAATTGCAGTGTTGGCTCATGTCAAGTGTACTTCTATTAAATAAAAAATATTAACTGGTTGGTTTAAGGTCGATTTAGCCAGGCCTACTTTTTGCATTTATTTCGACTTCTGGTACTGAACGAAATTTGTAAATTCTTTTCAAATGATTTACAAAGTACTCTGATTCAAACAACGCAAGTACCTAAATTTTATAATTAAATAAAAAGGGTGTAAAAGATTTTCAACAAAAAAAAATTTGATAGGAACTAAAATCCCTAATAGTTACTAAATTTAAATTAGGTTGAAAATACTCCACAAAATCTATGAACTTATTTGTAGAGTAGTAACTTGGCCTACTAATTTATTGAAACTCCTTTTTACTGGAACACTTATAACTTGCATAAAAAACCTCACCTGATACAAGAGATCAGTTAAAACGAGATCAGTTACGATTGACAACAAGTAAATTTAAACAATGAGTTATTGTTTATACCTACTAATATAAAAAAACCAACCTTAACTTCAGCGCCAGAAGCACCAGGCATGAGCTCTGCAATCTTGCGCAGATTGATGCCTCGAGTCAGGTTCATCTTGCGAGAGTGAATGCGCAGAATGTCCAGTCGAGCCTCCTCATTTGGTGGGGGGAACTCAATCTTGCGGTCAATACGGCCTGGCCGGAGCAGTGCCGGATCCAGAATGTCAATGCGGTTGGTTGCCATTATAACCTGAAAAATTCAAAGAGAAGAACGATTTAAGAGGAACTGAACATTAAAAAAGAATATAATATCTAGAAGCAGTTTTCTTATTAGTGAAAAAGTAGGAAAAATGGACTGATGGATTCCTTCCAGGTGTGGACAGGCCTAAAATGGATGCTAGGCTGGGCTAATCAGAGATAAGTGACATGTTTTGCAAGATCAAGAATTATTGGAAAAGTACATCCCAGAAGTCAAATCATCTTCCAGAAATTTAGTTTCTTTCAGCATTTTCTGATAAGTTGGCCTAGAGTTTTAAAACGAATTTGAATGGATGTATGTCCACTTTCTGGGAGTCACACAGATCTTGCGTACAACATTAGACATACAGAGAAATGAAATGAGCCATAGATTAACACAGTAAGTGTCACCTCAGCGTCCCAACATTATGTAACTTGGTGCCAACCAAAGAATGTTAGCAATCCACACAAATGTAAAACCTCGTATGGGGTAAGACTTCTTTCTCTTGTAATGAATATCAGAGTGAAAATTGGGAGCATTGAATTCATCAAAATGTTGTGTGGAATTTCAGAAAATCAAGAAAATTCATAAAGTTTAAGCGGTTTTGATTTGAGGAAAAGTCCCTCCACCACTTTTTTTGCCTTACATATGTTGTAGCTGATTGACGTGATAAAAATCTCAGCTGTTAAGCTATTGTTATTGTTTTAAAGGTAGGATCAAGAGGAGGGACTTCTTCCCCAAAAACTGTCTACATTTTGTGAACAGAGTATAGTTAAGTTATTAACGTATAGCTTTGACAAATGTCCTGTAATTTTATGACATTCTGTAGTAAATAAATACATCATAATAATTCAGCTGTGTAAAAAGACATGTTAAACATAGATCTGTAAAATACTTCAAGACACAAGCAAACAACTTCAAGGCTTGCAAATGTGTTAACCCTAAACACCCCAGACTGCAGTACCTTGATGTTCTTGGTGGCCTCGAATCCGTCCAGCTGATTCAACAGTTCCAACATGGTCCGCTGCACCTCAGAGTCACCTCCACTGCCTGACTCAATACGAGATGAGCCGATAGAATCTATCTCATCCATGAAAATGATGGACGGTGCATGCTCTCTATAAGAATATAGGTTAATAATAACCACAGATGAGCCATCACATAATATAAGCTTGTAAACAAAATTTTGTACCTAATCAGTGTTTTAAGGAGTCAAAAAGTTGGCCTTCGCCTTCATTATTACTAACATGACATCTTAATTGTAAATATTTCACAAAAATATAACACATTTTCCAGCATATAATTTGTCAAGATTTATAGAAATTAATTAATTCAGTGCTTTTAAAGAACAGGTTGACTTTAAAGTTAGGTTTGGTTATGTTTTATTTTTATTAGGGGTCTGCGGTACAGAAAATTTAAGGTCGGTACGCTTCAGTATGGTACAATATTTTGTACCTCAGTTCTCGGTACAAAATCGGTACGGTACGCGGCTACCCGTACTTTTGCGGTTTTCTGCTCAGAACTGTATTTAAACCATTATTTTTAACTTAAATACATTGACATAACTATGAAAATGGATAGTATCCTACATTCATTGTTTTCTAACAACAATTACTGTACCACACATTATTAAAACAAAACTTTTTACTACTACGAGGATTGTATCAAGAAAAATCACAGTTAAGATAAAGGCTTTACCTATTTTACTCTGAGATACTTTGAATAGCCATGATAAAAGTGGTTTTAAAAATAGGATAAGAGTTTTTAGGAATAAACATGTTTGAAACAGTTATTGACAAGATAATTTCACACAACTGGTAAATTATTTCCAACCAACACAATGTCTAGTTGTTTACAATTTTTTTTAAACATATAAAAGCATTCAGTACGATGGATGACAGTTGCCAGCTTTTCACTGGAGGTTATGATGAAGTAATGGCAAAGAGCATCTTTTTTTATCAGCTTCAAAACTAGTTATAAGATGGATACAACTCTTGCAAAGTTTTTTCTGAAACTAAAATTTGGATTATCACAGAGTAAGATTATTGTCTTTTCATTTACAAAGTTAACATCCACAATATCAATATGAAGATCGTAAACAAACATCTGATAAGACTTTTATGTGCTCAGAACCAACTGTCGATAGTAAACTGTAAGTAATTTATTATTATAATAGGCTGTACCGAACTGAATTTGTACCGTGTAAAATGCTGTACCGAACCGATGACGGTAATTAAGCTTGTACCGTACCGACTTTTTCGGTGCACCGCAGACCCCTAATTTTTATGTTAGGGAATTTAAATGTTGGTAAAATTCTATTGACAGACATTCTCTACTACAGTACATCAACATTCAGCAACCGACAGCAGGACTACCAACATTATAAAACATACATTATCCTATGTACAAAGCAATGTACCAATCCATTAGGCTACATCTTTATCACTAGATGACAGTGATATATATATATATATATAGTAATACAACAGTTTTAATACAATTTGTAAGATTCTTTGACATTAATTTTTTTTTCAAATTAAATCAAACCAATTTTATTACCAAAACCCTATTTGATGCTATTCATCTCCAACTACGTATACTTATGAATAACGATTCTTAATCACGAAATATATGAGCTATAGTTACAAAAAATTAATTTCTTTACTTTCCTACCTATTTAGGCATTGACATCAAAATGTGATTTTTAAAATCTTGGGATTTGTTTGAATAATTCCAAATTTTGTTTCCACGTGACAAATCAAAAACCTACATTACTACAATAAAAAGTGAAATTAGTCTATTTCAAAGTTATTGAGTTGCTTGTGATAGGCTCGGTTAACATCATACCTTGCCATGACGAACAGCTCTCGCACCATCCGTGAACCTTCTCCAATGAACTTCTGTACCAACTCTGAACCAGAGACTCGGATGAAGGTACATTCTGTGTGGTGAGCTACGGCTCGAGCCAGCAGCGTCTTACCTGCAATAGGTCTACATCACAAACTGATCTACAATTTTATTTTGTTTATACATGCAAATGGCTTAGCCAATACAACTAGTTTCTTCAGTAAAATGGATCAGAGAAGAGTAAATAATTGGCAAGTATCGAATCAATGTAGAATATATGAATATTAAACTAAAACTTCTGAAATACTGAACTAAGCTGAGCATACAGTGAGTAGTCCTTGTCATGTTGTAGGGAAATGCTTCTCAACTTGTGGTACACAGAAGCCACTGCAGTGGTTGATGGCGGCGTTCTAGGTAAGCGGATTGCCTACGCAATCTTGACATATTATAAAACTTTCTTAGATACCTAGTACCTACTTAATTGTTTTTTAGTAGGTTTTGTGTGTGATCTTGTTTTGAAGTGACAATTTGTATGTGAGCTTAGGCCTAGGTAAGTTTCCATTCCATCGAGCGTATTTTGTGAAATAACTCAAGTTTTATGAACAAGTTATTAGTATATCAGCAAACTGTTACATATTTCCAAAAACTAGATAAAATTTGCTACAAAAGGTATATTTCAGAAGTCCTGTACCATGTCTTACTTGATTTCCACATGACCCATAATATATAAATACCTTTTTATTTTTTTATTTCTACCCAAATATATAAAGTAGATGAATACATATGTGTTGATATTTTACAAAAATAAATTTTACCATTGTATTCCTCCTTTTTTCTGAATAAAAATCATATAAAGAACATTTTTTACGAATTAAAAAAATATATATGCTAATTGCCATAAAACATGACGGCATTTGGAAAAAACTGGCAGTTCCAGGCAGGGTGTCTAGTTTATTTCCATTATAAAATTCAAGACTAATTCCAGACTTTTCAAGACTAATTCCAGATTTTTCAAGACTAGTTTTTTCAACAATTAGTGGGCGTGGATACCAAAATGTATCGATTCTCGATTCTTGATACCGATACCAATTTTTATAACTCAACCAATTTTTCTGAATAATACTACACCAACCCCTGTCTCATAAAGTAGTATTATGATAATGTGGAGTTTTCAAGTAAAGAAATAATGCAGCAATAAAAAATTCTAACTAGCAAATTTGGCTGTTTTTTTTTTATCATGAAATCTTCCGCGTACTGTACGTTTAGACATCATCATTGACTGCATCGGTTACAGAAACGTGATCGTCGTCATCCGCGATTGCGGCAAAATCATGAACATTTCCCGCGGCTGTTTAGACATCACCGTCATCTCCCGCGGTCGCAGAAACGTTATCGTCGACGTTCGCAATCACGGCAAAATCATGAACATTTCCCGCGGCCGTGTAGACATCATCGTCGTCTCCCGCAACACGGAAACGTCATCGTCATCTCCTGCGGTCACGAAAACGTCATCGTCGTCGTCCGCGATCGCGACAAAATCATGAACATTTCCCACGGCCGAGTAGATATCATCGTCGTCTCCCACGGTCACGGAAACGTCATAATCGTCGTTCGGGATCGCGGAAAAATCATGAACATTTCCCGCGGCTGTTTAGACATCACCGTCATCTCTCGCGGTCACGGAAACGTTCATCGTCATCTCCCGCGGTCACGGAAACGTCATCGTCACATCCTGCGGTCACGGAAACGTCATCGTCATCTCCCGCGGTCACGGAAACGTCATCGTCGTCGTTCGGGATCGCGGCGAAATCATGAACATGTCCCGCGGCTGTTTATAAATCACCGTCATCTCCCGCGGTCACGGAAACGTTATCGTCGTCGTCCGCGATCACGGCAAAATCATGAACATTTCCCACGGCCATGTAGACATCATTATCGTCTCCCGCGGTCACGGAAACGTCATTGTCATCTCCTGTGGTCACGGAAACGTCATCGTCGTCGTCCGCGATCGCGACAAAATCATTAACATTTCCCGCGTCTTAACAGATATCATGGTCGTCTCCCACAGTCACGGAAACGTTATCGTCATCTCCCGCGGTCACGGAAACGTCATCGTCATCTCCCGCGGTCACGGAAACGTTATCGTCATCGTCCGCGATCACGGCAAATCATGAACATTCCCTGCGGCCGTGTAGACATCATCGTCGTCTCCCGCGGTCACGGAAACGTCATCGTCATCTCCCGCGGTCACGGAAACGTCATCGTCGTCGTCCGCGATCGCGGCAAAATCATGAACATTTCCCGCGGCTGTTTAGACATCACCGTCATCTCCCGCGGTCACGGGAACGTTATCGTAGTCGTCCGCGATCACGGCAAAATCATGAACATTTCCCGCGGCCGTGTAGACATCATCGTCGTCTCCCGCGGTCACGGAAACGTCATCGTCGTCCTCCGCGATCGCGGCAAAATCGTCAGAACATTTCCCTCGGCCGTGTTAACATCATCGTCGTCTCCCGCGGTCACGGAAACGACATCGTCGTCCTCCGCGATCGTGGTCAAATCATGAGAACATTTCCCTCGCCCGTCAACGTCTCCCATTCATGTCCTCGCTCGTGTGTAGACATCATCATTGACTCCCACGGTCACGGAAACGTCATCGTCATCTCCCGCGGTCACGGAAACGTCATCGTCATCTCCTGCGGTCACGGAAACGTCATCGTCGTCGTCCGCGATCGCGGCCAAATCATGAACATTTCCCGCGGCTGTTTAGACATCACCGTCATCTCCCGCGGTCACGGGAACGTTATCGTAGTCGTCCGCGATCACGGCAAAATCATGAACATTTCCTTTGGCCGTGTAAACATCATCGTCGTCTCCCACGGTCGCCGAAACTTCATCGTCGTCTCCCGCGGTCCTCCGCGATCGTGGCAAAATCATGAGAACATTTCCCTCGCCCGTCAACGTCTCCCATTCATGTCCTCGCTCGTGTGTAGACATCATCATTGACTCCCACGGTCACAAAAACGTCATCGTCGTCTCCCGCGGCCACGGAAACGTCATCGTCGTCTCCCGCGGCCACGGAAACGTCATCGTCGTCTCCCGCGGCCACGGAAACGTCATCGTCGTCTCCCGCGGCCACGGAAACGTCATCGTCGTCTCCCGCTGTCACAGAAACGTCATCGTCGTCTCCCGCGGCCACGGAAACGTCATCGTCGTCTCCCGCGGCCACGGAAACGTCATCGTCGTCTCCCGCGGCCACGGAAACGTCATCGTCGTCTCCCGCGGCCACGGAAACGTCATCGTCGTCTCCCGCTGTCACAGAAACGTCATCGTCGTCTCTCGTGGTCACGGAAACGTGTTCGTCGTCTCCCGCGGTCACGGTAACGTTATCGTCGTCGCCAGCGGTCACGGAAAGGTCATCGTCGTCACCCGCGGTTTCGGAAACGTCATCGTCGTCTCCCGCGGTTTCGGGAACGTTATCGTCGTCGTCCACTATAGCGGCAAAATCGTGAACATTTCCCGAGGCCGTGTAGAGGTTACGTAAACGCAAGACGACGATCGCGGCAAAATCATGAAAATTCCTGACTTTGAAATCAAATTTAAGACTAAATCCCGACTTTTCAAGACCATTTTGAAATTCAATACTAATTCCCGACTTTCCCGATTTTCCCGACTACTAGACACCCTGTAGGGTTAACCAAATTTCAACAAATCAGTGGTAATTCCAGAGAGGGGGCCATAGGGGCTGACTACCACATTGACATTTCTACAGAGTATTCACTAACGTAGACATGTGCGTTCAAGTGTATACATCAACAACGTCACAGTGTCGCACGCACACCCACCCGGCTGGGGAATGTCGTAAAGATACCATCTATGTTATAACTTAATACGGAATATGCTTAATCTATGTTAATACTCCCCTGAATACTGGCACGCTGTGTAGTGGGGAAAAAACGGGCCATGCCCATCATTCGAAATGGTCGGATACTGAGTCCGGCGGGTCATATGAACCTCTCTCTTTTACACAAACATACATTCTCCCAACCTGCTCTGCTACACTTATTTGTTAACATAGAGATTTCAAATTTATGTTTTTTTTTTGTTTAAAGACAGTGCTTATTACTGTGTAGTTAGTTTGAACCTTAACATACTTTTTTATAGTTTATTTAGGCAAATTAAGATTGATGGTCGTTTTTTAACACCACTAAAAACGTCAAAAATGTAGTAAGTGAGGAACTTTTTTTATTTTCTGAAACAAAAAATAGATAGGTGAAATTACAGAGCCGGTAAGAGCAGAAAAAGTTTTATCACTGAAAAAAGGAAGTTTTGCACTTAAAACTCTCCTTTTCAGATTACAAGAGATTAAACTTTTTCTTCATCAGACTGCTTAAAATGTTGACTTTGCAAGTAGAATTTTTCAAAATTTTACTTTACTTGTTTTCTACTCCCGCAATGGGGGTATGGAATACCCCCCAAACCCCCTGGTAGTCATGGCCATGCTGGCCTAGAGTTAGAATATCCCTGACTCCCCTGATAGAATGCCCCCCCCCCCCCCGAAAATTATACCTGGAACCATACTTGTCTAGAATTAGACCTGCACCTGAATTGACAATATTTCTTAACACGTTCGCGGCGGCATGGGAGCGATCGCTCCCATACGGAACCCTAATGCCATCCTGGTGGGTGCGTCCGCTCCCAAGCTGCAATGCAGTACGAAATGATTTATTTTTAAGCCAGGATTAGAGCTAGAAACTTGAAACCTCGCACAGCACTGCGAGGTTTACTGCGAGTCAAAATAGTATACTGTATTTTGTTGTGGTGTAGGTTGGTAGTAAATTTTTCCCGAAAATCCCCCTCTGGCAATCTCAAAAATCTACTTTTTGTCCCGCTTTTTTCCCTCCATTTGGCAATATAATTCCAATGGGACCGGCCATGTTCCAAGCAGTGCTGCTATCTTTGAGTGTTTAGCGAACTACGTTGACTCTCATCTTAAAGCAGGACATCCTCGCACGTTATTTGCTATTCGTCAGACCGAAATTGGAAAGCCAGTCATCGGTTTTGTTTCACGCTGCGGGCTGCGCCGCACTGGGGATACGCCCGCCATTTGGCGTGCCGCCGCGAATGTGTTAATGATCACGTGCTGTAAGAGGTGGATAGTTTTAGATATTTGGGCCTAATAATAGACAAAAACTTAAATTGGAATAATCATGTTTTATCAATTTCTAAAAAGTTTGCTTCTGGTTTATTTGCATTAAGGAAGGTTTCTAAAATCATCAGTTTGGTTACAATGAAAACCCTTTATGCCCCCTTTTACAGTCTCATATCGCTTTTGGTATTGTTTTATATGGTAATACGTCAAATGAAAATGTAGATGAACTTCTTATTTCTATAATTTTAAAGTTTGATTGGGATGATTCTTTTAAACACCTAGGATTTATGATTGAATATAGTTTATACATTTTTGAACTTATTTTGATTACAAAAAATAATTCTTATAGAATAGAAACCATAGTTTTAATACTAGAAACAATTGAGTAAATTGCTTATACAAGCCACAATCTTAAATTATATGAAAATAAACCTTCCTATGCAGGTATTAGATTCTATAATGCTCTTTTGGTGGATTTAAAAACCACAGAAGCTTTTAATGTTTTTAAGAAAACACTTAAAAGCTTAATGCTATCCAAACCGTTGTACTCTCTACACGAGTTTTTTTTTATTAATGTAATGTTATAAACTTATCTCTTTATCTCATTTCATGTATAATGCAGTGAATTATTAACTTATAATGTTTTGTATATTGTAAAATATTAAAAATTTAAAATTGACGCCATTCTATGTATGCATGTATAAAAAATGAATACAGTTATCTTGAATTTATTTATTTCTACGGCAAACACCCATTTAACAATTTTACAAAATTTACTAACTAATGCATTGAATTATTTAAGTTGTAATGTGTTAGTTAAGTTTTTTCACCTGTGGACGGGATCAGATTCCAGATCCCGAAACATGTATTGTTTTTTACCATTGTGATGGAAAATGCCCGCAATAAACCTTTGAATTAACTAAGCAATTTGAATTGGTGATGCAATTAACTAAGCATCACCAACAATAAGTTTCAAACTGAGATATGTAAGTAGTCTAAGACATATACGAGTGTGCCTACCAGTGCCAGGTGGGCCGTATAGCAGTACACCCTTGGGTTGTGCGATACCAAGAGCATCAAAAAGTTCTGGGTGTTTGACAGGCAGTTCTATTACTTCCTTGATCTCCTTGATCTGCTTGTCCAGACCTCCCACCATCTCATATGTAGAGTCAGGGACCTTCTCCACCATCATAAGGGAAACCAAAGGATCCACCTGAGAAATCATGAAACATCAAAATCTACAGCACTTCCGTTGGATCTATGGAGTAGGCCTATCTACAGTACTAAATTTCATAGTGTGATTGATTGTTACTGTGTGTTAGAAACAACGGTGACACTACATTGACATGTTGAAATATGTCAATCGTTTTAGAAACAATATTGCATTTGCAAGGGATCCCTGACGTGTGCAACATCGACCAGTATCAACTATATAAGCAAGAATGAGCCAAAATCAAGATAGATCAATATCAAGAATATCAAGATGGCCACCATGTAAGTAAGGTCCACCTTAAGTCCTAACTGAAATTCTCATAACATAACTTTTTAGCAAGTTAAGAGAATTTCAAAGGTACCAGAAGCGAGACTATAGCCACTATAGGAATGATGCCATTCGTCTACAGAAACTAGTACCTTTGACTATTGATACAACTAGACATTCCATCCCCATGATAAATTTTTCGTCAGATCTTCAATCAAAATCACCTTGACTGATTGTGCTGATCTAAATAAATTAATAATTTCTGTTGAATATAGGAACTTTTTTTACCAAGTCAAACTAATGGAAAGACTTATAATGGGCTATGGAGATTGTTATGACCCAAAAACTTGATCAGAAGCCAAAAATAAGGTAGAAAATGAAATTTTAGACCCTAGAGCATTCTGTGACTGGCTCACATAACTACCTTCTTTTTCAATACAAAATTGGCGACAGCTGGTCAATAAAGATGGGATGTCTACTTCAGTATCCAATTATAGTCAATGAATGTGTTAATAGGCACCTGATACAAAAACTAACAAGTCATATACTACTAGTTCTAAAAAAATATCGAGCCTACAATTTAATAGACTGTGTCTTGCTGTACCTTATTGGGCAAAATTTTATGGAGAGTGTAGCTCTCGTTGCGCAGTGCGACACGTGAGTTAGGTGTCACGTCGTTGATATCAATGTTCTTGTCTAAATCTACGACAAATTTTCCTTCAGGATGAACTTTGACGAGAACCTTCTTCTTGTCCATCGGCTTTACAACTTCCCCAACATACGAGCCTTGCTCTTGTAGCAGCTGTAGCTCCTCACGCAACATTCTCACTGTAAAACAATAACTTTCAGTAAACACAACTACAAAGTTATTATATATTTTTCTCATTAAAAACATTTACATTGCATACACGATATAGGTAGGATATTAAATAATGTTGTGACATCAACATTTGTAAGCAAAGGAAATATTAACGTACAATACAATATATTGGGATTATAATTATCAATTAAGATGGGGACACCACCTAGGTGCGTATTTGAACCCGAATATGAGTGAAGGATGAGCGTAGAATAAAGATGATTGAGATGCCTTATGTATATTTGTTACTGATTAAGACCAACTTTTTTGTTAGCCAGGACTATTTATAAAAATCCCAATGATCAAGGACAGCTGGGTCCAGTTTTGAACCATCAAAAAGCTTCACACTTTTCTCAGGGTTGAACCGGCGACTTTTTGAATACTATGCGAGCACTATAACCACTGAGCTACCCAGCTAATTGAGGACTTGTGTGATGATTAGGGAATAAATAAATGAATACCTATTGAAATGCTGTAGTTAGCTTCTTGCAAGAGAGAAAAAATATGCCTGTGTCGCCAACTTAGGTTAATTCAAGAGTAGGATCAGTTTTCCTCAAAAAGATTATATCTTCAATATTTTTTATCGATACAGGTAGGCTAGGTTAGTCAGTTGAAAGTGAAAAAAGAAAACAAACTGGTAAATGACCAAATTTTTAATATGAGGCATTTTTTTTATATTTTAATGGACATATGTCGTCTTTTAAAACGTGATGAATGGTCCTCAGTAGAGACCAATTTAAAAATGTTTTTTTTATTTTAGCCTAGGCTACTTTTTTAAGCATGAGTGAAATGCCTTAACTGCCTTAAAAAATGAATAAACATTGGCCTACTTCACCAAATAGCTTTTAGGTAGATTTAACAACTAACTAGGCCTACTGAAAACAATTTTTTCAATTTCAATAATTATCAATACGATTACCAACAAAAATATCCGTTATAGTAGGCCTAAATATTGCTAGAGAGCTGAAAATATGTTAAGCAAATTTTTAATTTTAGTACCTAACTAAATGACAGCGGTAAAAAAATATATGGCTGAACAAATGAATTCAAATAATTAGACATCTCTTTAGGCTTAGGCCTAATGGACCACTGAATGCAATGTGAGGTTTGTAGCAGTTGTACCTTTAGCGTTGAGTTCGTTCCGTTGGGCTTGGAGACGTCTTAAGTTTTGACTTTTCTCTGCAACAATTAACTGAAGCTCTTCAATCTTTGTGATGTAGTACGGCCGGAAGCCTTCTCCTTTGGCCGACTTTTCATCAACCTCCATCTGTTAAAGATATAATTTATTCAAATTTGAAAACCAATGGCCTTTAAAATAAATAGAAAAGAATAATAGAATAAGTGGGATAAGTTATTTATTGGCCATCTCCAATTTTATAAACTAGACATAAATAAATTTCTCCCAAGTGACTGTAACATAATTCAAATACACTTTTGTACAATAATCACCCAGCAATAAATATAAGTACAAATGTATCAATAATAATAAATATATATAACAACAACAATAAATATATAAATAGATAACAACCACAGCAACAACAATAACAAGATAAGAAATAGTCTAAGAAATATGAGGCAAATCTTAACATTAATATAGGTATACAGTATGTGGATGTCTGCAACAAATAAGTCTAGGATGATGGTGACCTGAATAATACCAGGCACAGGATCATCCTAGGTTTTTGTGGCCCTTTTTGCTGTTCATTGGACAGTCAACCTTACATTGAGGATATTGTGTAGCAGCACAATGTCAGCAAAAACCTACGACTCACAAGAGACTGGAGCCAAAGATGTGAAATGAACCACAGAAGGGAAATGTCTTCAATTGGGACGTGCCGGTAAGGAATTCCGGTCCTAGCCCCGATCATTTGAATGAACCTTCTATGAATGCCCTCCCGTTCTTCAATTAGGCATCTTTTGAATCTGGCCCACCAATGCACAGTAGTAGTGCACAGTCTTCAGAGCCATCATATCGCTTAAGTGTCTTGAATAGCGGATGACAAAGCCAAGCATTCTATTTGCTCTGCTGCAGATGTGAGTTATGTGGGACTCAGGGTTTAGTGAAGGTGTCAAAATGACACCTAGGTCCTTTACCTGCTGAATTCGGGTTAAGGGTTCACCACACACTGTGTATTCAAACATTATTGGAGTATGACAACAATGGAACACACTTCTTGATGTTAATTTTCATCCTGTTGGTCTGGCACTGTGGTCAGCCATGTGGAAATCTTCCTGAATGTGTATGCAGTCGTCTTCTGAAAATATGATAGAGAAGATTTTCACATCATCAGTAAAAAGTAGAGAATTCCTTTGAAGAGCCCCAGGCAGGTCATTTATAGAGAGTGAAAAGAGATAATGGTTGAGCAATGATCCCTGTGCTACTGCTACCCCAGAGCAAAAGATCAACTCAGGCGAGTTTGCGGACACAAAGTTCACGTACATCTTTCTGGTTTGGAGGTAGGCCTAGCTGGCCAACCACTTTATTTCTCCGTTTCCAAACCCCTGGACAAGCAGCTTCCGCAGGAGGAGAGTGTGATCCACCGCGTCGAACGCCTTAGAGAAATCCAAATATATACAGCATCCAACTGACTGTTCGTGACAAAGGTTTCTTGAATTGTTGACTGAAGAAGTGTTAAGTTGGTAAGAGTAGACCTTCCTGCCATGAAACCATGCTGCTGAGGACAAATTATGCTAACCAGTTTGAGCTTGATATGGTCAAGAAAGATGTCTTCAAAAACTTTGGCCACGGCAGGCAGGATTTGAGTAAGGCATACTACTATACTAGAGTTGGTAACATAATTAATAGCTCCTGATTTGTGGATAGGAATGACATAGGCCGATTTAAATGCTTTAGGGTAAATACTATTTTCCAGTGATGCATTGAATATATCATAGATCTGTTCAGCCAATAAACTGTGACAAAACTTTAAAACCGTAGGTGGGGAATTATAAAATTATAAGAACGTTCTTATAATCTTAGATGATGTTATGGGCTGGGTAAATACCAACGATCACATAAGAAATAATTATTCTTTAATAATAAATTGTTACCTCTTTGACTATAATAATGTGTTGACAAAATTACTGACCAAAGATTTGATAGAATGTTTCTCATAATCAAGACTCAAATTGATACATAGACCTTAAGTTTCAAATATGGGTATACCTATCAATAGTAGGCCTACAACTAAAAATATGTTTTGTTAAAAAAAGCTTATTCAACAAACCCTTCCCCCTATAACTTAAATTAAATATACTACATAAACATATACCTACAGACACCATTTTCAAAGTCTTTAAGTATGAATTTGGACCAATAGTATATCAATATTTATTTAGTACCGGTACCAGTAATTGTTGTGCATGTAATTTGCATAGTATGTTCTAATTTTCTAAACTAAAGTAAGACATAAGACATAAGATCAAATAAGTACATAAGTAAAATATATAGGCTACACAATACACACCTTCCAATCGGCTACACGACAATAATCATTTTACGTTGAGTTTCTTGATATTTGATACAAATATAAATATACAACATGCATGGCTTATTAAGCCCATATTAATTATTTATGTAGCTGAATAATCATAAATAATTAATTAAAAATGCAGGAGGTAGGCCTATTTTACATCTCTAGGCTATAATTTAGAGATATGACGTAAAATTTGTGTAGGTAGGTCTTTGTTGTTTATTAACCTTGACAATGCCTTTTGCATGTCATGCCACACGGATAGGGCCTAAGTTAATACTGTAAATTAAAGATTATAATTTCATTCAAGCTATTTTTATTTCCCTAAATCCCCTTTAAGATAATGTATAGGCCTAAATCAATCGGCCTAACTTATAATTCTGTTAGATCCTAAAGTGAAACATAAAAAAAACTTCACTTTATTTTATCCCAGCCTACCTTAGACGAACCGAGGCCCCACTAGAAAAACAGGCCATGCTGCAGTGCGGGCAGCTCAACACTACGTCACAGTGGTGGATAGTTGTACTAAGTAAAATCTTACCAATCTGACAAACAGCCGGCTTATTTATCAATGAATCTATCCACTAGTGTGACGTCATGGATCCTGCAGCATGGCATGTTTTTCTAGTGGGGCCTTGGACTAACCAACACAAGTAGACTTCTCATCGCATTGTAAAATTTGAAGCTCGTTTATCTTGTCTAACTTAAGTTTAGATCATATTGGTGACATTGGACGCTAGTACAGTAGAGTCCCGCAAACTCGGCGTAATGTGGACTGGAAGGGTGCCGAGTTTGTGAAATGCCGGGTTATCGGGAACTACAGTTAAAAATAAGAACAATGCAATTTTTATTCCTTTTAGCTGCCTTATTTATTTACATTTATTTTACAAGTAGGAATTAAGTCGTCATGTACAACAAATCCTTGGTACGAGTTGCAAATGCTTTGACTTGAGCCCATGTTTAACTCGGACTCAAAAAATCACTAATTTTCTGAGCCAGGTGATGGCCGAGTTATCCAGACTGCCGGGTTATCGAGTGCCGAGTTTGCGGGTCTCTACTGTATCGACAACATTTATTTTTGTATTAGCTTAAGTAGGGTTAATTTTTGTGCTTTAAGTTTGAACTTGTTTAGAATGTTTTTACCCACAGCATTACATGATTTTACTTAAGCTAACTTAACACTGAATAGGCCTACATTAGGTAAGCAAAATACTTGACAAACTTAGCCTAAGAACAAACCCTTGTTTTGGTAATAGACTAACTTAAGCCTAGGCCTGGAAGGAAATTTGCTACCAAATTGGATATTGTGAGAATTTTGGGCCGTTTTAACTGAAGTAACTTTGTCCCACTCTGACATACTTATTGATGTGTACACCCGATACTTTGGTACTAATCGGTAGCTCGTTTTATTAATAAATAAGCAAGTAGCCTTCATAGAGACCACACTTTGAGGTTAGCCAAATGGAAATGACAATGGTTATAACAAAGAATAGAATCGGAATGTTTGATACTCAAAATTAATTTCAAATAATTATTTTGTTAAAGAATAAAAGTCTAAGAAAATAAAAGGGCTTCTAGATTATAATAAACGCAAATTATTCACCTCAAAATTTGTGTTTGTCATTGTTGTGGAGTTCCCAGTTAGCTTCGTTGTTTCGTTTCTAAATCTAAGCCTGTGTCACACTTGGCTACTTACTAGCAGCTACCTAGTAGCAGCTACTGAAATAGCAGCTACTTTTCCTGTCACACTTATTTTGGTAGCGTCTATTCACTAGCTGCTACTTACTAGTTTAGCTCAAGAGAGGTTATGTCCCAAAGACACGGATATGTTCAAAAAATTAATCACATCTCCCCCACCCCACTTCGGATCACTCATGATTACTTCAGAAATTATTCAAAATGAACGAGAATAAACAAATCAGGCAGATAGCACGTGGTGCAAGTAGCCGCTAGTCTGCTATTGAAGCTGTCACACTGGGCGACAGTCGCTACTTGATAGCTGCTAGTTGGTCACGTGACTCACTAGCGCAGTTTAGTAGCACGGAAAGTTGGACATGTTCAACTTTCCATGCTAGTAAAATTTCACTAGCGCGCTACTCTTAGTAGCTGCTACTGCCTATGTCACATTGGCTACTTAGTAGCTGCTATTTCGCTAGCTGCTAGTAAAGTAGCGTAGTGTGACACAGGCTTATTCTAGTTTCTTTTCTTTTCTACCGACCCGAGACCCGACCCCGACAGCACTAGCACAGACAGGTCAGCAGGAAGGACTAAGGCCCTGTACACATGAGGGCGGCAGCCGCCGCGGTTGCTATTGCGCGGGAACCGCGGCGGTTGAAAGTACAAAGGAGCAAATGGGACCGTTCACATGCAACCGCCCACTTCCAATCAACCGCAACGAACCGCGGCGGTCGTAGATTTCCCTTCGAACACCGCGGCTCCCGTACGGTTGAAGTTACTAGAGTTGGCATGAGAGCGTACACATGAGGGCGGTAGCCGCCGCGGTTGACTGCAGTTGCTACTATAGGATCACAGACATCTGCGTGCTTGCCCTGTGGACATCGCTCTCTCTCTCTCTCCCTCTCTCTCTCTCTCTCTCTGTTGGTGAAGTATGTAGCTTTGGCTGGAGTTAATGTAGTGCTCGTCGTGTAAGTTTACAATGGCCATGCGTGCTGCTGTGGAACCAGAAAACTTTGACACTGAACTGTCCATTAAAGAAGTACAAAAAGAAGATACGTTTAGGACATAAACTAAAAAAGAATGCGTGGCAAGAGTTTGTTGAGTTTTTTGCTGAAAAGAATTGTCAAGCGTTACGCGTTTAAAAGAAAAATAATTGGGTAAATACAGTACTGGCTGTCAAGCGACGGTCAATTCGCACCGCAACCGCAGCGTAACCGCGGATCCAACCGCTGCCATGTGTACGGTCCTAGACGGTCACCGTTGCGGCCACCGCGGCGGCTGCCGCCCTCATGTGTACAGGGCCTAAGGCAGTGAGCAGAGCACTCAGCAGCAGGCAGCACTGGCAGCAGACAGGCAACCAGACACTCAGCTCAGGCACGGCCACCTTTAACTACAGGCAGCGGCACAACACTACAATAGACTCTGGCCATCAGTCCCATTCCCGTCTGCTCTCGGAGCAGGGCCCCGCGTAAGACGCTTAGCGTCTCAAGCGTCCAGGGGCTTCTTGGACAATTGGCCTATTGTGCATTAAAATCAATGCTTAGCAGCCACTAAGCGTCCATTGCCCGCGTCTATTTCTCATTGATGGACGCAACAGACACGTCTTCAATGTAATCAACGTGGACAACGTAATCATGGACTTAAAGGTCTAGACGCAATAGTCGCTGGCCACCAGTGATCTCGTCTGCTCCCAGAGCAGACTCAGCGTCTAGCTCAGCGTCTCAAGCGTCAGAGGCACTTCTTAGGCAACGGGCTCAACGAAATCAATGCTTAGCAATCACTTATATGAGCATCCATTTCTCAGCGACGGACGCAACAGACGCGTCTTGGACAACAGGCCAAGGTGCGTTGCCCAAGACGCGTCTGAAGAGATCGTCACAGAGCGGGGATCGCCGGGTATCGATCGCTTTAGATCCCATCACATCCAACCAAGAACGTGTCTATTAATATTGACAGTTGGCTGCTGACTACGTGTTAAACTGTAGTGTATTAGTGCTCTTATTGTAAGTGTTAAGAACAAACTGTTGAAAATCCTGTTTATCGAAGAAAAATATGAGAAAATTCTGGACATTGTAAGTGAACCTCGATTGTGTACTCACAGTCTCTGTGTAAGTCGTTTAGTGCTGGATGAGCACTGCTCACACTGCTACAATACACTGCTCATCATATCATGATACACTGCTTCAATCAACTTTTCATCTTCGTAAGAGAAAATAAGACTGTGCACTATTCTTGCAAGACATCGAAACTTGAGAGCACGGGATACAACACTGCGCAATAGACGCTGGCCATCATCAGCGACCCTGTTTGCTCCGGAAGCAGTGTCCCGACAGCGTCTCAAGTGTTAGGAGCTTTTTGGGCAACGGGCCCATTGAAATCAATGCTTGGAAGTCTGAGCGTCCATTGCCAGCGTCTATGGCACGTCTTGGACAACGAATGGAGAGTACAACAGGAACAGGAGGTAGTATTGGCACTGAATGAGAGAACTGAGAGACCCACGTTGGCCTACCACTATAGGTAGGTATTACCACATACATAGTATTTGTTTTTACTTAACTAAGTATACATTGGAGCTAGGGGAGTAGAGGTTTGTGGGTTTGTAATATTCATGAGCCAATGACTGGTATCAACATAAAAAAATGACAGTGTGTGATTTTTTAGTAGAATTGCTGTTTTTATTATTACTGGATTATCATTATTAATCGAGATGGGGATGCAACCTAGGTGCATATTTTATCCCAAATATGAGTGTAGAATGGTGTAAGATGATCTGTACAGCTGTTGGTGATCGGCTGTTTTTATTAGTCAGGACCATTTTTAAGACCAATGATCACTAACAGGTGGATCCAGTTTGTTATTCTGAATAACATGGTCAAAAGGGTTTTAATGCAAAATAAGACTAATAATAAGGAACGTGAATATTTTTAATCTATAAAAGTATATACATTTATTGTACACAAAAGGGATATTCAAAATAATACTTTTAGGATAAGGCACAAGCTTCAAGCAAAGGGTAAGATATATCTCTTTAATTTTTGTAAATCTTATGTCTGAATAGAAAAAAAATCTGCTATTTGATTATTAAGATTTGTCAATGTATTACAATAATTGGGTTTTATTTCTGTTTATCAATGATGGGGTATCACAAAATTATACTATAGTTGATAACATGAAACCAAGATTTTTATAGACATTATTTTTACAATTACATTTCAAATAAAAGTTTATTCAAAAATACATGTGTCTTAGCATTAATTAAATTTTATGATAATCGTTTGATGTACCCTTGGGGTCAATAATTAATATTTCATAGCAAGATTATAAACTATACAATCAATAAACAAATAATAAAACACAAATAACAATTTGTCAATAAATAACAATTAATTTAAGATATAAATTATAAAAATTTTGTAATATAAACATTGATTTAAAAAATACTAATAAGTACAATAATTATAGATACCAACAAAAATTAATTGTTCCATAAAACAGCAATAAAAAACAATTTGGAAAAAAACTGATGAATATAAAAAAGTAACACTACTGATCATTTTAAGTATGTTAACACTGTACATGAGGTAAAGTTTTCCCAATGTTTTAAACCAAATCCAAAAATTAACACAATACACTGTATAATGGGTATTCCAAAAAAGTAATTAAAAAACTTACACAATATTTTTACTACTTTACGACACAGCCAAGAGCATATTAAAGTATAATGTAATTTCAAAAACTCACTTAGAAAAACATTTTTTATCCAACAAAATATTTTAAACAATCCTAATTCCTAATGATAAATCACATGTAAAAAATATATAGCAACCTTAGAAACATTTAACAAACTTTTCAACAGCACATTGTGATATTACTTTTACTATATTACATTATATTACATTACTATTTGAAAATATTACTGATAATACACCAGATTTGTAACTAAAATGATTGTACAGGAGTAACTCCATTATACAATCATTCAAACTAATAAATAAAATAAAAACTCTCAAAATATCTTTGAGGGTAAAATAAATACATGCAAAAAAGTTGAGCATTTAAGTCAATAAATTACACAAAATGTGAAGTGAAACGATTTTAGATATCCACTCAATCTTGTATATACCAGATTTCATGATCATATCCAAACTAACTGTCAGACATGTCTGATATGGAAATTGACAACATAGTCTGCATTGGTCCGCTGAACACTGATGGCGAATGGGTCAGTCGGATGAAACGTGAATGCAACAAGACGTCTGGCTGAGGGAGGAGCACTCTTGCCGAGGACTCCTGCGTAAATACGGAACTTCAGAAGTCCTGAATCTCGGGAGTAAAACCTGTAAAATTGTTAACCGTTAGTTTTTTGTTATTTAAGCTTTGATATCTATGCTTTTAAAATAGAACTGCTATCTGGGTACGCATTTTAAGGTGTATATAATTTAAGAATGTGAGTAAAAAGAAATGAGTTGGTATAAGTAACGTTATAACTGACTTAGATCAACAGTTTATTAAACCAGAATCATTATTTATTATTTAACCCTTCATTGGTGTCTTTAATTTTAAAACATGATCAGTGAGACGGTGACACACATTGTTCTCGGTTTCGGGTTCGGTGATCCCGGGTGTTGAAACATTAGACAATTGTTTTTATACTATATTAATATAAAAACGTATTAAAACCATGTATAATCAAAAAAATTGTATCAATAAAAAACCACTCGATCATTGACACGCGGAGTTTTTTCCTGGTGTTGAAATATTAGCCCAACTACTTTTGTACAGTAGACCTCTTAACCGACCTCGCATTAACCGATAATCGGATTATCCGCCCTTGATTGTAAAATATTACAGTTTGTTTTAACCGCCCTTGCTTTGAGAGCAGTTCGGTTTAACCGCCTTTTTCTATGAATATTGGCATTTCCGCTCCCACGCTCGGTGATGGGAACCATACGCTTATCTCCACAGGATGTGACCAAGATAAGATAAAATATTTTGTATTTACGCCTATCCCAAAAAATATTCCATATAGCCAGTTTGTCATCATTGTTTGTAGCGCAAGCACATCTGATTTTTTATCTGTTCGG